TTATTTACTTAATTATTTATTTTAGTTATTTACTTAATTATTTATTTTAGTTATTTACTTAATTATTTATTTTAGTTATTTACTTATGTACTAATTTACTTACTTATTTAGTTACTTGCTTATTTACACATTTACTTGCTTATTTACTTGATTATTGACTTGTTTACTTACTGGTATTTACTTAGTTTTTACTTATTTCCTTGCTTATTTACTTATTTACTTACCGGTATTTACTTACTTACCTACTTATTTACTTACTTGCTTATTTATTTGCTTACTTATTTACTTACTAATTTACTTACTTACTTACTTATTTACTTACTTGCTTATTTATTTGCTTACTTATTTACTTACTTATTTACTTAATTGCTTATTTATTTACTTATTTGCTTACTAATTTACTTATTTACTTACTTATTTACTGCATATTTCCTTACTTATTTACTTACTTATTTACTTACTAATTTATTTACTTATTTCCTTGCCTATTTACTTAGTTATTTACTTACCGGTATTTACTTACTTATTTATTTAGTCACTTAATTACTTATTTAATTACTTACTTAATCAATCAATCGATACATCCTTTTGGGGTTTTTTTTTTGGGGGGGGGGGGGGGGGGGGGGGGGGTGAAGTATCCAGTAGTTTACAGCTTTAACTCGTCTGTTTTTTATTAGCAGTGTTCAGTGGTTTGTTTTATGTACCAAGTTGATAAAATTATTAAACAACATATAATTGTTAGACCTGTGAAGTTTCACAGTAACTCATTTTTTATGTCTTGTTTATAAATACTAGATATTTCTGTTTACACTCTGTAACTACAGCTTGCACAGGTCTATTACTGTAGATTTGAATATACCATAAAGTTTGTTTTGCGTTTTCATTTTCTGTTTTTGCACTCCGGGATAAAAACTTTTTTTGTTTGTTTGTTTGTTTTGTTCAGTGTCTGTAATTACAATCTAATGTAAAAACTGCTTCTTCTGCAAAATCAGAGGGACGGTTGCAGAAATATTTTGTCGTAAAAGGGCGATACGGTGGAGCAGTTGGTAGAGCTGCTGCCTCTCGGCGAGAAGAATGTTGGATCCAATCCTGGCCAGGGGCATTTCTGGGTGGAGTTTGCATGTTCTTTCCGTGCATGCGTGGGTTTTCTCCGGGTACTCCAGTTTCCTCCCACAGACCAGAAACATGCATGTTAGGCTGATTGGTAACTCTAAATTGTCTCTAGGTGTGAGTGAGAGAGTGAGTGGTTGTTTGTCTTTATGTGTCCCTGTGATGGACAGTAGACCTGTCCAGGCTGTCCCCCGCCTCTCACACTGTGACTGCTGGATATGAGCACCAGTGACCCAAAAAGGAAGACGTGGGTAAAGATGATGGAAGGACCTGAGAATAAGTTTTTGATTTGGAAACAATTCTCAGTCCTGTTCTTGAGTTAGTCCTTGTGGAGGAAGCAGCAATCAGTCAGGAACATTCAGCTTCTAAACTTGTGTCGTTTATTTTCCGTTGAAATCTGGTCAAATGTAATTTCAGGCGTTCCATGAAGTCCCTTTTCTGAAGAAGTTCAAGTTCAAGCGACAGGACAGGGTTTACCCCAGAGAGGCTCCGCCCAAAACCACGACATCAGTCAAAGCCGAAGCTCTGCCGAGTGCGTCCACCGGTCCGACGGAGAACGTGACGGAAGCAGCCCCTTCAGGTCGGAGATGTAGATGTTACCACTCGGTGACGTTTTGTTTCTCTGTGTCAGAGCAGTGATTTGATTTATTCTTTATTTGAGTGATTGAACAAATATTTTATTATTGTGTGAATGTTTATGAAGCGTTCACTCCATTGTGATCCATTTTTCTTCCGTACGTTTTTCAGCATCTTTCTTGTTCCACAACTTTTGTGTTATTTCAACAAATCATATATCAAAAATGTTCAGCTCTTTCATCTCTTTCCTGTTGTGACTTATAGTATTGGTGCAACTTTAGCTTTTTTTAAATATTTAGCCTTTTCTGCCATTTTTTTCCTCATAGAAAATGAACTGAGCTCATTTTACATCCTTCAAATCTTTAGATCTGTTTACAACCTTTTACTGCTCCTTTCACATTTTCTGCTTCAGCTTCTTTCGGATTCTTTGTGCAAATTTAAACTTTTTCAGCTACTTTCAGATTCTTTGTGCAAAGTTAAACTTTTTCAGCTGCTTTCAGCTGTTTTTTTTGGCTGTTTTGTGCTCCTTTCAGATTCTTTCTAACAACATTTTTGTGGTTCTTCTAACTTCTTTCTGCTAATTTTAACTTATTTCTGCAATTTCAGCTACTATATAGCTATTTTTATGCTTATTTAAGCTTTTTTTTTAAAATCCACTTTTTTTGTGCTAATTTTTGCTTCTTTCTGCCTAATTGGGCAAACCTGTTCTTTCTGCTTTCCTATGCTAATTGATGCTTGTTCTACCTTTTCATCTAGCCTTTTAGCTGATTTTAGCTGTTTTCAGATAAATTCAATATTTTCATGGTAATTTCTGCTACTTTCAGCCTAATTAACCTTTCCTGCTGATTTCAGCTTGTGCTCATTTCTGCTAGTTTCAACTCTGCTATTTCAGCTAATATTTAGCTGTTTTGTGCTAAATTGAGAATTTTCAGCTAATTTCACATTTTTTTTAGTTGCTTTCTTCTCTTTCCACTTCCTTCTGGTAATTTAAGCTTCTTTCTGTCTTTTCAGGTACTTTTCACCAGTTTGTTGCTAATTTAAGGTTTTAGAGCTAATTTCCTAATTTTTGTGCTAATTTCTGCTTATTTAACCTAATTCTGCAAATACGTATTTTTTCTGCTTTCTTCTGCTAACTTGTTCTTCCATTTCAGCTTGATTTTTTTTTTTTAGCTTATTTCAGCTGTTTTTCGGCAAGTTCAGCTATAACATTCACACTGCATTTTCTCAGGAAATGCTATTTCTCTAGTTTAGATAGTGAACAACGAGTATTCAAGGTCTTTATAAATGTGTTGAGACTGAAAAATGTATTTTTTTAAATTTTTTATTTTTGTTCTTTAGACAAGCCTCTCACTGGTATGAAACTGCTGTCTGTTGGGAAGCTGTCGAAGAACAAAGACGACCTGAAGGCTGCTGTTGAGGAGCTGGGGGGGAAGATCACAGGCACTGCCAGCAAGGCCTCTCTCTGTCTCAGCACCCAGAGTGAGTCTCTCATTCTTTAACCCGTCGGTAAAACCCGTAAAAGTTCCACGGTGACTTTTACCACATTTTGTTTCCAGAGGAGGTGGAGAAGATGAGTAAGAAGATGGAGGAAGTAAAAGACAAGGGCGTGCGAGTGGTTTCTGAGGATTTCCTCACAGACGTCAAATCGTCCGGCAAAGCCCTCCAGGAGCTGGTCTCCCTGCACGCCATCTCGCCCTGGGGCGCAGAGGTTAAAGCTGAAGCTCCGGCTCCGTCCGTGAGCTCTAAGTCTGGAGCACCAGCTGCCAAAAGCTCAGGAAAGGTCAAGGAGGAGGAGGGTAAGGGATGCTTGTCGCTGTGGTTGTTCGCTGTTTTTTTTTTTTTTTTAAGATCTTTGAATGAGGATGTCATCAAATCTAAACGGTTCCAGGTGGGAGTAAATCCAAAAAGTTGAAGCTGACGGTGAAAGGTGGAGCTGCTGTGGACCCAGACTCAGGTAGTCCTGAATCCTCTGGCCTGAAACTGCCGTGTCCCCTCTGGTTTTGATGGCTGCTGTTAATTTGAGCAGGTCTGGAGAACAGTGCCCACGTTCTGGAGAAGAGTGGGAAGATGTACAACGCCACTCTGGGTCTGGTGGACATCGTCCGAGGGACGAACTCGTACTATAAGCTGCAGCTGCTGGAGGACGATGTCCACACGCGGTAATCTCACTTTGTTTTAGCGCAGCTTTTAACCTCGCAGCCTGAACCATCGTCTGTATTCACGAGCTTCTCCTCCCTTTGTTTTAGCGCAGCTTTTAACCTCTCAGCCTGAACCATCGTCTGTATTCACGAGCTTCTCCTCCCATCTGTTGTAGGTACTGGGTGTTCAGGTCATGGGGCAGAGTGGGGACCACCATCGGCGGCAACAAGCTGGACAAATTTAGCGACAAAAATTCTGCGCTGAATAACTTCCTCAGTGTTTACAGGGAGAAAACAGGAAATGACTGGGACACCTCCGATTTCACCAAATATCCCAACAAGTTCTACCCGCTGGAGATCGACTACGGACAGGTGCACACATCGATGGAGCCCGGAAACACGTGTCCAGATGTTTTGTTTCTAACATTTTCTTTGTGGTGTACTCGTTTCAGGATGAGGAGGCGGTGAAACAGCTGACTGCCAGTGCTGGCACCAAGTCCAAGCTGCCCAAACCAGTTCAGGACCTGATCAAGACCATCTTTGATGTGGAGAGCATGAAGAAGGCCATGGTGGAGTTTGAGGTCAGCTTTTTTGATTGTGTATATTGTGACTGCTGTTTTCCTGTCAAAACATTCAGCTCATTCAGGAGAGTGGTGCTGGGACTTTAGTCTTTTTGTAACTTTTATATATTTTAAAATATTTCACTTGATAAACAAACATTTTTATCATAGACATACACTAAGATCTCTTCAGGTCCTTCAAAAATATTGTTCTATTTTGTCTTATGCTACATTTAGCTAGCCTTTTGCTACTTTTAGCAACATTTCTGTTACTTTTAGCTGTTAGCTAGTCTCTTGGTACTTGTGACTTTTTAGCTGGTCTTTTGCTACTTATAGCAAAAGAGGCCGTCTTAGCATCAGCAAACTGTTTTTTTTTTCCACTTTGGAGTATGCTGTTGGTGGAGAATCAGTTTTGTTTGGTGGTTCCTCAGACGGAACAAGTCTGTTGATGACGGACGAAACGTCTGAGCATAAAAACGAAACCGTTCAGATGATCTGACTGAACATTGTTGGATTTTATACCTGGATTATTGAGCATGTACTTTGGTGTTTACTACTTAGACCTTTGAACCAGCCTTTTGCTTCTTTTAGCTACAGTTCTTACATTTAGCTGTTAGCTAGCCTCTCTGTGCTTGCAACTTTAAGCCGGTCTTTAGCTACTTATACCTGTGAACCAGCCTTTTGCTCGCTCTGCGTAACCGTTTTCTGCTCTTAGCTAGAATTTTGCTACTTTTAGTTTTAGCCACGTTTTGCTACTTGTACGATTTAGCTAGCTTTCCTATACATTTTACTTTTGGCTAACTTTTTAATACATTAAACATTTTGCTTCTTTTAGCTCACACTTAGCTTCTTCAGTCTTGTAGCGGGAGTTTGCTCCCTTGCTACTTATAATATTTAGTTAGTCTTTATGTACTTTTAGCTAGTTTTTTGGTACCTTTAAGTAACATTTTGATGCTTTTAGCTAATCTTCTACCACGTTCAGCTGGTAGCTAATAAGTATGGACACATGGACGGACTCACTGACTCACCCATCCATACTTATTAGCTAAAAGCAGAAAAAGGCAGAAGACTAGCTAAAAGCAGCAAAATGTTACTTACAGGTACAAAAAAGAGCGTGCTAAAAGTAGATAAAAGCTAGCTAAATCTTAGTTGAAACAAGTAGCTGAGAGTCATTTCCAATTCATACTTTGATCATTAACGGGTCTCATGAGATGCTTGTTGTCTTGTCACTTCATGGTCTCTTGCAAGGCGGCAGCTTTATTTTAACTGATTTCCATGTTTGTATCCTGTCCCCCACTTGCACAAGTAAATTCTTTATATATAATTTAAAAAAGTATAGCATGCTCCTTTAAGTGATTTTTATAGCATAATGCTAAATGCTCAGTGTTTCCCCTACATTACTTGCCTTGGCAGGGCACTCATGTCTTAGTGATTTGTGTCCGGGGGGGTGGGTGGGGGGGATGTTAGACCAAGACACGTCTGTGTTATTGTTCTTTTTGCACAATTGTTCTATTTTGACCTATGCTATATTTAACTAGCATATTGCTATTTTTAGCTTTTAGCTACAGTTCTGTTACTGCTGTTAGTATCAAAAGTGTTCGAGCCGGAGGGATGAGGGGTTTGGGATATGGCTCAGCGTGAGGGAATCGGAGCGCTACCGCTAGTATTTAGCTGGAGTGCCTGTATTGCGCGCCGCTAGCTTAGCGCTACATCAGCGTCCTGCCTGTATAATGGTAATTTTTACATCTAAAAAGCTCTTTTTGTGTCCGTTTGTTTTCAGATCGACCTCCTGAAGATGCCTCTTGGTAAGCTGAGTAAACGACAGATCCAGAGCGCCTACGCTCTCCTGACTGAAGTACAGCAGGTTGGTTATCAGTGCCTCTCAGTCAATAGATTGAACTTGGGACAATCGGTCAGTTGTTTTAAAGTCATTTGGTCCTTTTTTAAAATACTACAGGCTGTTTCAGCCCATGTACCCGAGGCACAGATCCTGGATCTGTCCAATCGCTTCTACACCCTGATACCTCACGACTTTGGCATGAAGAAACCCCCCCTGCTCAACAGCCTGGACTACATTCAGGTAAACTCATCGTTTTTGTCTCACGGTGCAGAAATCCTTTGCTTTAACCCCGTAACTGAATTCATTCATGCGTCACGCGCATCCAGGCTAAAGTCGAGATGTTGGACAACCTGTTGGACATCGAAGTGGCGTACAGCCTGCTGAGGGGCGGGGCTCAGGACAACGAGCACGATCCCATCGACATCAACTACGAGAAACTCAAAACCAAGATCGAGGTGAAGAGCGTCTCTTTAACTTGTGCTTTGCAGCTGACGTGTCGTCATCTGAAAACAACGTGACGTGCGTTTTCCGTCTCGCAGGTCGTTGACAAGAACACGCAGGAGGCCGAGGTCATACTGCAGTACGTTAGGAACACGCACGCTGCTACGCACAACACGTACACACTGGAAGTGGATGAAGTAAGTTCTTCTTATTAAGGGATAATAAACCATTTTACAACCGAACAGATTTATGCCACAAATTTGGCCTACTATTAAAATAAACTTTTATCTTGTTGTATTTGCACTTTTTAGATCTTCAAAGTTGCTCGAGAGGGAGAGCACCAGCGCTTCCGCCCCTTCGAGGAGCTACACAACCGGCAGCTGCTGTGGCACGGCTCTCGCACCACAAACTACGCCGGGATTCTGTCTCAGGGTCTTCGTATCGCACCTCCAGAGGCCCCGGTGGTGAGCGTCCTCATGTCTCGGACTGTCAACAACTTTAAAGCTAGTTGTTGTATGCAACAGTGGAATATTTCCTCCTTTTTAACACAAATACATTGTTTAATAAATCTCCTCTTATCTTCTGTAGACTGGTTACATGTTTGGCAAAGGCGTTTACTTTGCTGACATGGTGTCCAAGAGTGCGAACTACTGTCACACCTCGCAGTCGGACCCCGTTGGCCTCATACTGCTGGGAGAAGTCGCTCTAGGCAACATGTGAGTTGCAGTCTGAGCATCCTAAATGTTTACCTTTTTTTAAAATAGTTGTGATTGTGTAAATAAACTGGTTTTTTTGTACATGTTTTAATGAAGGCATGAGCTGAAGAAGGCTTCCCACATTACAAAGTTGCCAAAGGGCAAGCACAGTGTTAAAGGTGAGAAACGTCAAGTTTCAACGACTGAGAGGAAATTATTCCCTTTATTTACCGTATTTGCCGGCGTATAAATTGCTCCGGAGTAAAAGTCGCAGGATGGGCCAGTCTATGCAAAAAAGAAAAAAAAAACAATTGCGACTTATACGCCAGAAAATGCGATAAGTACTTTTGTGGCAAATTGCATCAAAATGGCTCTAAATAATATTTAATGTTGTTTTATAATGTTGAATTATGAGTTTTAAGTATTTTCTACTAATAACATGCACATTTACATCACTAATTTTGGGGCAGAGTATTTAAAAAAAAAAATTTTTTTTGTTTAATTCATGCATTTTTATTTTTTATTTTTTTTTCTATCCAGGTTTGGGTCGAACCGCCCCTGATCCAAGTGCTACCACCAGTTTGAACGGGGTGCAAGTGCCTCTGGGAAAAGGAGTCCACACTAACATTGATGACACAAGTCTACTGTACAACGAGTATCCTTTGAATTTTATTTCTCCGCTCATAAGCGCGTTGGTATTTTCGTTAAGTTGGCCGACATTTTCTCTGCTTTGCCTCATAACCAACTTCTGCTGTCGCTGACGTGTTTTTAGAGTTAAAGTAACTCATTAGGAAAGCTAATTTTGTTTTAAAATAAAAACCATCGTGGAATATTTGTTTTTTGGACAAAGATGTGAAATTCTTGGAAGGAGATTCAGATTACCGTGTTTTTCGGACTATAAGGTGCACCAGATTATAAGGCTCACTGTCGATTTTTGGAAAATTAAAGATTTTAAATGAGCTCTATAGTCAGAAAAATACGGTATTTACCCTCAGGAAACCAGGTTTTGTGCTTTTCATATTTTTATCCTCATTTGCTTTTCTTAACCGCTCCTCCTTCAGATACATCGTATATGACGTGGCACAAGTAAACTTGAAGTATCTCTTGAAGGTCAAGTTTAATTACCAGACATCCTTGTGGTGAAAACGTCTTGTTTAAACCCTTCAAGAAAAGAAATATAGGAAAAGGACCACAGTTGCATTCAGACGCCTGGACTTCATTCTCTACAGCGACAACAGAAATGTCAGAGATGCTTTACTTTTAACAGTGGTTGTTTGAAGTATTGTGTCACTTTACGGCTTTTTCGTGAGGTTTTTTTAGCAGACAACCTTTGTTCAACGTGCTCATAGTATTGGAAGTAACAGCTCAACAGTAGCTGAAGCAAAGAAAGTAAAGAAATCTTGTGAGAAGTCCAGAGATAAACCTCAGAAAATGTTAATAATCACGTATAGGAAGTGTTTTGTGTTGAAAGGGTTTTATCGTTCTGTAATAAACCTTTAGTTGTTAAACCTTAGAGAGTATTACTTTGTGAGCAGCTCATCTGCTGACATTCAAATACCTTTTCAAGGGTTTCTCCTTGAAGTAGCCACTAATGTGCGTTTTGCTCCATGCTCATCTGAAGATACTGTACGGGGGTTGACATGTAAATATTTTTGTTGTCTTCCTTTCTGAAAGTTGAAACAAAGCGGACTGTTCATGCAGCGCGCTCTTGCAAAAATCGCAATAGTATTTTTTTCTTAGTCTTTCTCTTGTTACTTAAATCACAATAAAGGGCATAAACATTTGTGTCATTTTGTTTTCTTGGTCTGCTCTGTGTACATCTGTTCATTTGCCTGTTAATGAAATATCTCACGTAGGATACTTTTAATGAAACTCTAGAAGTAATCAGTCACTGGCAGCATGTCTACAACTGATTGTTTTATTAAAGTGAACCAGATTCAATATGGCTACCACAGCTAATAACCCTAAAAATGTAATGGAACAAAATTTCTCATGAATTGTTTGATGACAGTTCAGTTTATATAGCGCCATGTTGCAACAGAAGTCATCTCTGGGCACTGAACAGAAACGTATATCGAAAAGTCAATTAGTAAAAATGATCTAAGGAAGCCATCAGATTGAGCTGAATCTTCACTTTGCAGCAGTCTCCCAGCCTTAGCAAGCACACTGGCCACAGTGGAAAGGAAAAACTCCCTTTTAACAGGAAGAAACCTCCAGCAGAACCAGGCTCGGGATGAGCGGTCATTACTTGGACCGGCTGGGGTTTGAGAGGACAGGTGCAGGTGTACTTTCTACACCTTTTGTTTTTAGAACTAATAAAAGTACTTTTCTAAATCATGATGAGGATGGAAATAATTACGAATAGAATAGAAACAGCCTTTATTGTCCCACGGATGGGAAATTCCAGTGTATCAGCAGCAACAGATTTAAAGATTTCACACAAAAGTTCCTAAATGTTAACTTTGAATGAGCAAGTAAAGACGAGCAAGAGTGAGGAAATGTCAGTTTGCCCTCCAGCCCAAGCCTATCCTAACTTTAGGTCCTGATGTATGGTGAATAATCCAGGTAGAAAAATCTAACAATGGATTCTTTGTTGAAACGTTTCATCTTTTATCCAAAAAGACTTCTTCAGTCTGAGGAGCTGCAACATTCAACCTTTCAGCAGCAAAACTGGTTGATCCACTCTGAGAAGGTGCTATTTATAAGACTGAGCTGAATACAGCACCTCAGACTGAGGAAGTCTTTCGGATGGAAGACGAAACGTTTCAACTTTTTTTTTTGTTTGTTTTGCTTTTTATTTAGTTTTTTGAATATCCATAGGACCAGATTTAACTTTTTTAGATTCAACCTTTATTTAGACAAGTTAATCCCATTCCCCTCAAGGACTCATTTACAAGAGAGACCTCCCTTTAACAAAGAGTGATGACAACAGCAGACAACGACAACAATAAAGTCATAAAAGAGGCATACACATTTAAATGTCTTCCTTTTTTAAACAAATCAAAACAAAATGGCAACCAAAAGGACAGTCAAAAGGAAAAGTAGTGAAAAGAAAGAAAAAAACAGCTAGATTATAAAGCGGAGTGGAAAACTAAAAACAGGAACATGCTGCATTGGTTCTTGCCAGGAACTTGACAGATGTTTGAAGCCGCTTAGAGAGGTCAAGGTCGAGAGATTCAGATCTTATTGCAAGATATTCCAGGAAACTGGAGCAGAGTAGGAAAAGGCTCTTTTGCCAAGTTCTGTCCTCACTGAGGGAACACTGCAGGTAATAATGTTCTGAGAGTGCACGCTGTAGCTGCACTCACGCAGACATGTAGGAGGAGATATATGAAGGCAGCAGACCAAGAAGTGATTTAAAGATGAAAATGTACCAGTGGGAGAGTCTACGTGAAGTTGATGTCCAGTTAACCAGTGAATACAGGGTGCAGTGATGGGTACGATAGTTACACCCAGTAATGAATCTTAATGCACCATGATAGACAGCATCTGCAGGGTGCTTGTTGGAGCGTTCATGTAAATATTGTCACCGTAGTAAATGGAAGGAAGGAAAGTTGCAGTTACAAGACGTTTCCTAGCATTTAAAGTTAGACAGGATCTATTTCTGATAAAGAAACCCAGTTTAACTTTCAGTTTCTTTACTTTTTCCATGTGAAGCTTAAAAGAGAGATGCGAGTCAACCAAGATACCCAAATATTTATAGGAATCGACAAACTCAGTCTTGTAAATAGCATCTTGTCATAGCACTATGACGAGATGCGTCCACTTTCCACTTGGACCAACTAGTTTGCTGCTGACAGTCAGAAATAGTTATTCACATGCAAAAAGAGGACCATCAGCCTAGCAATAGATCGTTAGAGCCCTAACAATAGATCGTTAGTGCCCTGATAGCAATTTGCTCTTCATAGAGGGCTGAATGATGCAATAACAGCATTGTAAGAGGGTCACAGTTGAACGCGGAGACCCCCGCCCCGTTTAATGATGGACAGGTTCTCTTAAAGATGGCTTACTCCTCTCTCAAACCAATGTTCCTCTCTATCAAGAATGTGCACATCTTCACCTCTGAAAGAGTGACTGCTGGCTTGCAGACAAGTGTAAACCACAGAGTCCTGGCCTGATGATGTTGCTCTTCTGTGCTGGGCCATCCTTTTGGCCAGTAGTTTCCCTGATTTGGACCTGATCATATAGTCTCCTGGCACTGAACAACATGTACAATATTACTCTGTGCTGGGGGACTGGATCTTTGGGATGGATCTTTGCCTTAATGTATTTTGAGGTTTGAAAGCCACTGGCATTCACTGGCTTTATGCTGTTCAGGGCCAGAAGGGCTGAAGCTTGGGCTCTTTCTTATACAGTTTTCGCAAAATGGCTGCACAGACCTGTCCATCTCTATGCTGATAAATTACCTCAAATTAGCAATTCTCTTTGTGGTTGACTAATTATTTAAACTAAATGCAAAGTTTCTGGCTATAGTTGTCAATCTTCCCTCTGTAATAAATGTATTTAATCACGTGGCTGGTTGCACAGACCATTGAGACGCCAGCTTACCTTTTCACATGTCAAACGTTTTAACTGTTACTACCTTGCTTCACAGCACAAAGGTGCATCGTGGTGGGTGTGGCTTCAATGCTCCTCGCCACCTCGGTCCATTCAGAAATCTGGAAGTGTCCAGAAGGCGTCTTTTCATTTACACTTTATTTATACAGGTAGTTTCATTGAGCCACGAGAACTTATTTTCAAGTGAGACCTGTTTAGGGAGCAGATGATGGGGGTTAAGGCCCTTGCTCAGGGGCCCAAAGTGGGGCGAATGAGGGTGGAGGAAGGTGTGGGTGTTCCACCTTTAACACACACATTTTGATGTTGACGGTAACGGGAGTTGAACCTGCAACTTTCCGATCACAGGCCCATCTTCTAACCACTGCGCCACCACTTCCCCAGTCTTTAGTTCTGGCTTGAGTGTTTTGTGAAAGAGCGTATGGTTAACCAAAGACTGACAGGAAGAAGCAGCTTACCATCTGAATTGTACATTTTAGCAATATCCATCCATTATCCGCAATCTGGTCGCGGAGGCAACATGTCCAGGAAAGAAACCCTAGCGATACTCAGCTCGTTCATAAGCCAGAGAAGATACACAATTTCTCCAGCGACTTCTGACTTAATTTTAGAAATAAATCAGAAGCCCAACTAACCATTGGGCTTCTGATATATTTGTGGGATCAAAAAGTTGTTAAAAAGGGTCATATCTGGCCCACAAACCACTCATTGAATGGGCCTGATCTAGATGATGCCTTTTAGAATTTTTTTTAGTTTTTTTTTATTAGCTGTTCATTTTTCTTTGGGTCAAAGTTTGGGGTTAGGGGCCTATGCCAACATGTTTTCCAGGTGTTGGCTCACAGAAGAAAATTCTGTACCAAATTGAATATTTTTGATTGCAAATTATTAAAATAAATTATGTATTGCCTGTACCACCTGCTCATGACTATAAAATATTATCTTACCATTTATTTCAATAAGCTTTTCTCCAAACTTGATGCTGCCTATTTAAAAATTCTAATTTGATTTGCGATTTTTTTTGTTGGTAAAACTACATTATATAGCAGTTTTGTAACAACCCCCCCCCCCCCCCCCAGACCTTTATAAAAAAAAAAAACATGGAAATATACAAAATGCAAAGAAAACAAGATAAAAACAACTACAGTTAACTGAAAGACTGCTACCAGTGAGGTTTTTTTTTTTACATATTTAACATTTTTATAAATACATTAATTTTAAAAAAAGTATATAGTAAATGTTAATTTAAAAAGTATTCTGAGTGCTCCATTTTATTCAGTTGAACAATCAAGTATTGATTAAATTAAACATTTTTTACAAGCCTTTTCGGTCAAGTTTACAACTAAAAAGTTAAGTTTGCTGAAAGAAAACTTATTCGCCTATACGCCACAGTGACACGAAGCGATTTTGAATCAGTTTTTGTGTTTATTTGACTGATTTTTGTCTCTTTACTCGACCTCCGGACAGATTTTCGACCCAGAATGCATTTTGACAAAGTCTTTGAAAAAGCGGCGCGGCTAATTCAAGATGGCGGAGATGGACCAGCTGTTAGACGAGAGTGAGTAACAACACTAATTCAGTTGCACGGTGTGAACGACTGGCGGCCTTTCCTGTATTAAGATAAACAGCAACAGAAATAACCCGATAGTACTGATTGTGTAATGGATGCTTTCGGTTCTGGTTTGACTTTATAAAGCCGTGTTTAGACGTCGGGACACCGGGTCTGACGCTCGTTAGCACGGCGGGCTAACCGTGGCTAACACCGGAGTTGAAGAAGTAACTTCGGCTCAACTGGGTAAACAAATGCCGTTAGCTTAGCTACAAGCTAACGGCTGCTAACCGTAGGACCGGAGCAACAATAACAAAAAGACCACCACGGGTATTCATCATCTGTCTACGTAGTGGGGTGTAGCTTGTTTATATTATGCGTTTACTGGAGTTTTTGTAATTAAATTGTCTGTTAAGTTTATCGATCCAAGCGTAAGCAATAATTGAATTTTATCTTCAGTTTGTTGTAACGTCCGCTTAGGTTTGCCCTAGTTGTTGTCTCGTCTGTCACTCAGCCCGTTTCGTCCAGTGTTTGACAGCTCAAACAAGGTGGAAAGGCCCCACCATCAGGGTGCTATCATCGTTTCAGTGAATTGTTTCCTTATTTTAAAAAAATGCTCCATATATACAGTATTAATTTTGCACAATTTTTGTGACGTTTCAGGCTCCTCGGCTGAGGCGCTGGTCAGTCTGAAAGGTATGTGGCCAGTTTCTTTGTCTTGTAAGCTTTTTGTACTCTTTGTAAATATGTCTAACTATGGTAAAATGGACTTAAAGGTACTCAGTGCAACATCATGTTGACCAGTCAAAGGTTTTTGTAAATTAAGCAACAAAATCAACAAATTATTTTTCCCCTTTTATCAGTGGTCGTGAGGTTTGGCTCATTATCGAAAAAAGGAGATCCACAATAGTCGACATGAGCTTCCTTCATAGGGTGTCTGAGCTCAGTCTGATAGAGCGAGTGTCAAATCAGGGGAGGATGGAGTAGAGCCATTATTCCTGAAGGGATTACCAGTATATATCCTCTTTCTGGCCTGAGAACCCCTTGGAGAGTGTTGCTGGGTAGAGGGATGTCTTTGTTTTGCTCCTGGATTTGATGCCATCCTTGGATAAACGGTAGAAAATGGAGACATTGATGGTTATTGTATCCTGGTCAAAAAAAAAAATTGTAAGCATGGCTGCCAGCTACTACATTTGTTTACCTACAGAAACAGTAAAGGTGACTGAAAATACATCAGCAACTCTGACGTCCACGGAAGAGCCGTTTGAGAAGGAGAATTCTGACAGCTTTGATGTGTTGGTATATATTTACTCAGTTCAGTTGTGCAAAGTATGCAGATGGAAAGATGGTTTAGGTTGAACCTGGTTTTTTTTATTGTCTAGTGTCACCCCAACTGCTTTGACTCAGCTTGACTTTGCAGTTTCTTTGGTTTTAGATATAACTCAAGTGCCACCTGGATGTAGTGGATCGTCGTGGCGCCACAGCCTGAAACTTCCACCGTACTATTTTCCGACCAAGGCAAAAACAACACAGCAATCGATAAATAAATGAAATAAAGTTGCAAAACACTTGTCATCCTCCGTCACGGTTTTCATAAATGTCATGCTTGGGTCGAGGGCACCTTCCCTCTGTTGGTCGGGGCCTATTAATCAAGTCCATATTTTTCAAGACATGAAATAAGAAAATAAATGCTGCAGCTGTGACTATTCAAAATGGTAGCTTTGATTCTTGTGAAAGAGACTCATGATTGAAGTTGCTCTCTGGCAAGTCAATGGCTTGCCTTCTGCTGACTTCAAAATCTTCAGCTCGGCTCGCTTGGAACCTTGACCAAGTAGATCCTAAGACTCGAGCTGGAAGTGGGTGGGACCACCCAATGAAAATCTCTAAAGCCATGCTGAGTTGAGTCCACGGAACGGGTCTTTACAGCTGAATGGTGAGCTCTGTCTTTATGGTGCTCCACCTTGAGAGAGCCTGAGCCCCAAAATGTGTTTATTCTTGAGTCATATTCTTTTATTTCTTGTTTAGCTGCAAATTCTCTTATATTTCTAACTAGACGTCAACGCTGAGAGTCCGTGCTGGTCCGATTCCAACGTATTTATTAACCTACACAGCATAATGTAGGTCGTTCCCATGACTTGCGTTTGTGTGGGTTGCGTGGACCCACATTTCAGAACTGCACGTCTTTCAAACTGCAATGTTTGATACAGTTTAAGAAAACATTGTTTGATCTCACTTTGCAATGAGTCCTTTAATGTTTTTGTATAGCTATAAGAATGTAATTGAAGATTTAACACTGTAACAAAGTTACTGTTTAAAAGTGCTTTGAGACTTGAAGTTTTCTGTTATCCTCATAGTGACAAGCCTATCATCTGCACTGCCTGAATACTGTATCAGACAGCACATTGATAAATTCATCTCACTTTGTACACAATCTTATCCTTAAACAAGGACTTGTTCTTTTAGGACTTAATTGTAAATGTGATCTGTATTGTGTTCAAACCACTGGCTGTCTTGCAGAAGGCAGTTTATCCAACACCTTGAATGAAAAGAACAGCTTCGTGAGAGCTCACAACACCAGAGGACGACATTCCTCTGTCACGATGGACACGGTAAGAAATCTGATGAAACTGAAGATGATGCTGTAGAAATCTGTTAACGCATTGAACGCTAACATCTTATTGGATTTTGGTAGACCCAAAGATTTCAAAGGAATTTAAAAATGGATCAGTTTTATAAGATATTACCAAAATGTATTTTTCTAATCTGGTAACCTCACTGAGAAATCAATGCACACAATAATTATTGAAAAAATGTTTTCTAACAACTTAAAACAATTTAGCTTGAGGATGCGGGCTATGAATGAACTTCCTCTTTTCTTTTATGGGATTTATGTTCTGTGTTGTTCCCCATTTATCTTTCGCCAGGTAGAACAAATAAAAAGTGTTTTTATTTAATTAATATTTAACATTAAAGCATCTAGTAATATTCTTTTTGACAGAAACAGTTGACCAAAATAGCATGCAGCTCTTCTAAAAGACTCATTCCCTTTAGTATAGTAGGGTTAAAATATAAGTTGGAATGGCATAAATTAGCCATTTATCTTTGATACATTTAAATACCATAGTATTGGCAGTTCTGTGGTCAGTGCCATGGTCGTGTAATCCTGAGGCTGCATGTTCAAGCCCTCTGTACTAAAATAATCTCCAAATCTTTCATGGGAGTTTGCTCTTCTGTGGCAACACCTTTATAAAAAAGGAGCAGTCGAAAGAAAAACTGCCTAATTTTGGCAGTTTAAGGATGTGTTGAACCAAAAATCCCACACTTTTAGTTTCTTTGCGTTTCTGTAAACTCTGTTGCACTCATCCCCATCTTTTTACTGAATGTGACTGATGAACTTTGCCTTGCTACAGAGAGGGGACAACTGGATTGTTATCAGATATTCAAAGAAAAATTAAGGAAATTTTACACTGGAGGCTTCATTGTGCAGATTTTTTATCTTTTATGCAGGATCTGTAGATGTTTCATTCCAGCATGATAAAATGTAATAATAAAAAAAATTTAAATTCAATTTGGGTGACTTTTTGGTTGTATTTGGAGGGTCATTATACTCGCTTGAGCTTTGCTATTTTTAACATTTTTTGCCCTGACATACCAGCTTATGTATCGTTAACTCATTAAGACATGATCCATAATGTATATAAATCTTTCTAAGTTATGGAGCTTTGTTTGTAATGACAAAGAAACAATGAAGGTTGGACGGCTCTCAAAGACTCACAAAAAGTTACTCAAATACATGCATACAAACAAAAAAACAACGCATATACAGTATTATGGATAATTTTTTAAAGTTTAGATTGTTTTTAATTTCATAGTCTATCGTAATAGGCTTTAGTATAAAGTTTAAATATAAATATTTAACAGTGTCATTTTCAACCACTGCTCCACTTTTAGGTTTGTTCTTACATTCTTGTTTTAACATGCGTAACCTGTTATTGAGGATGTCTGATAACTATTCTAAAAATATATATACAGTGGGGAAAATAAGTACATTAATTTGAAATATTACAGTATTTAAATTTAAGTTAAGTTAATTTAAGTTGTTTATTTAAGGAGGGAGATTGGGAGTAACAGGTGATGAGTGTCATATATATATATATATAGATATATATATATAGATATATATATATATAGATATATATATATATAGA